TATTGATGTGCCATCCTGGAGGAGTTGGATTACCTGTGCAACATCTGTAGGATCCAGGTATGGCCTCATGCTACCAGCAGTGACACTAACTCTAGCCAAAGGCCAAACTAGTGAAGAAACACTCGGAAAAGAGGAGCAGGGGAAACATGTCAGTGTCCTCCACCTGTAAAACCATTCCTGTTTTGGAGGTTGTCTCACTTTTGCCCCTCTAGTGCACCTGTTGATAATTTCATTAACCCCAAAGTTGCTGACACTGATTAACAACCTGCTCTGCTATCCCAGAACTTTAGCTGACTCGATGCTATACTTTGGTTAAAAAGTGTTCCATTAATTTTTTGAGCAGTGAACTTGCACCATGTAGATACAGTCTATATTACCTATTGTGGAGGGTCAGACACATTGAAATAATCCATAACTGTATATTTTTGTATTTACAAATAATTAAAATCTTTGTGTTTACGTTGCAGCATTGGTATTGGTATTATAAACAAAAGGTAAGTCGATTTTAAAGATCCAAGAATGCCCCGTGTTCCCTGACACAGTTCCCTGTATCATCACGTATCATTATTCTCTGTTGACCCAACTCTGTTTCCACAGAAAAACTGTTTTGTGATCAATACCAAGCCTTTAATTGGTATTGGGAAATGGAGTCAAAAGTCATGCAATGACACCAATGGATTTATCTGTCATCAAAATCTTGGTGAGTCCATTTCTAACCCCAGGCCTGTTGCCACCCAACTTCAGCTGCAGCTCCATCACACTCTCTCTAGCTTTTCTAAAACAACTAAAAATTTGCTTTGACATTTCATTCCTGTAATTAATATCTATATATGTAATATATAATAACAATAATATCTATGATCAAGGGTATGCTTCATCACTGGAAATAGCTATAATAACTTTTTAAGAATGATTCAGAGGGTTTTATTATGTAAAAAAAATAAAATAGTTTCTATTCTCATCCTAAACAGACACATCTCAACCAGATTCTCCTGAACCAACAATTTCTACTAACTACATCAAAATACTCAATGACTCCATTAAGGTTGTTCCTCAACAAATGAATTGGGATAAAGCTGCAGAGTACTGTAAAAATGACGATGCCCTCCTAGCTAGCCTGAGGAATGAGTGGACGCAAGCTTATGTTGAGCTCCTGGCGCTGAATCTCAAGGCTCCTCTTTGGTTTGGATTACACAAAGCGCAGGTAAACTTTTGAAGACATATAAAAAGTTCATAACTCAAGAATAGGGCCAACCACTTCGAAACTTCTGACTGCAAATTCAATCAAAAATCTACTTATGTGCACAAAAAATTATTTCAACAAAGATTTTATCTAACGAAATAATCTGTAATTATGAAAATGAAATCTTCGTTGATGGATAAATATACTGGCCTAGTTATTTATCCAATCATTCGGTTATTTGTGAACTGAGATTAATCATCCATCCATTTCAGTTAAATCTAGCTATTGCTTTTCATAATACGTCTGCCAGCACCACGTAAACACATTTGAAGTTGCTGTGTAGCACTTGCTAACTTGATTACAAAGATGCCAATAAAGGTCATATAAAGAAGCAGTTGCACATTATGCTGCATTAAAAATAAACACTTTTAAATGCAGCAGTCATTAAATAAGCATTGTGGAAAGTTTCACTGTTTTACTAAAGTGCCTACCTTACCTAGGGCATGATCAGTGCAGCCTCCCTAATCCAGCAGGGAGATGCTCTGTGTGAGGAAGGCATGTTGAGCAGCAGCACTTCTTATGTAAACTCTTAAACTGTTACTTTAAACTCCATCATTTTACCCAGCTCCGGCTATCTTAGCTAAAGGAGCAGATACTGATCCTGCTAATGAGTTAAGGACCTTCTAAAGACCTGTCCACCTCTTCCAGAGTAACTGTCTCCTGGAATCTCTTCAATGCTCTTGAGACTCTGCTGGGAGACACAGCAAACCTTCTGGCAATGGTACATTTTGATTTGCCATCCTGGAGGAGCTGGACTACCTGTTTTTTGAGCAGTATAGATTATCATGTTAGTTTGAGTCAACTCCGTTCAACTGTTATATCCTCTGTGCAGCTGTGCTTACTAAGGGAAATATTCCTAAAAGCCGAATAAAATAGATAAAAACAGGTGTGGGTCACAATCAGCCAAGGTTTCCGGTGAACCCACTGTTAGATCTTATGCCACCCTATCATTTGAGTTACTCAGATCAAATGACACAAGATGTGAGAGGGCGTTAAGGCATGTGGGAAGGGATCTCAAAACTGGATTACAGATGAGAGGGTTCCTATGGTTCTGCTAGTTTTCTTGATTGGTAACTGCTGTCTCATTAATCTTTTCTTTCAGATCAATGGTTCTTTCCGCTATGTTGATGGATGGCATTTAATATTCAGTCGATGGGGTAAAAATGAACCAAGCAAGGACAGAAGTTGTGTATACATGGATGTGGATGGAAAATGGAAAACCACTCACTGTAACGAGACACTAATGAGTGTTTGCATGAAGTCGACAGGTACGACCAAACACTGGCTAATAGATACCCTATAACCCTGTAATGACTGGCATGTCTGTTTCATTTAAACTTGAATCACTGTTGAGAAGCTTAAATTACAGATCACAGGTACTGATGTCTGTAAAATTTCTCTCTCTCTCTCTCTCTCTCTCTCTCTCTCACACACACACACACACACACACACACACACACACACGTTTGTACGTTTGTTGTCAAAACAATACATTTAAGAGTTTTAAAAGAATGTAATTCATTGATCCATTGACATCATTGTCTCATTCACAGATGTGCTGCCAACAGAGTCAACTCTTTTTCCAGGAGTTTGTCCTCTAGACCCAGAGGCAACAATAGAAAACAAGAACTATATCTGGGTACCATTCAGGGGTTATTGTTATATTTTTATTACAGAGCAAAAGCGCTGGCAAGAAGCATCTACCAGCTGTGTAGCACATGGTAGGCGACTTATCTGAAAGATACTTTTATGCAATAAATTGCTGTAGTTTTCATTAACAACTGATTTGTTTTGTTAAGGTGGAATGCTTGCCAGCATTGAAGATTCCTCTGAGCAAAAATTTCTAGAAATTAACCTGAGAACTTTTCAAGATGGCTACACATCTTTCTGGATTGGCCTGTTTAAAAAACAACACAAAGGTGAGTCATTATTTATTTTTATGGTAAATAATAATAATAATAACAATAGTAACATATTTTTTGATCATTTGTTTTTAACCAAATTTTCAGTTCAAAATAAATATTTTTTTTAAATGATGTACACTGTTGTTTTTGTCTATTTGCCTGCAGAGGAATGGCTCTGGTTGGATAAAACAGTCATTAGTTACACTAACTGGGCTGAAGGTCAACCTGTTAATGGCAGCAGATTACCCCGCAGAGGAGAGATTAGTACATCAGATGGGACATGGACAGATATTGGCATGTGGGTTCAAAGACCTTACATCTGCAAGATACAAAAAGGTAAAATTATCTTTATTTATAACAGTGTTTTCTCTTTTTCTTTTCTGTAATGATATGAATCTCTTGTAAGATGTTCACAACAGACATGACACAGTCATATGAATCCAAAAGGAATAACTCTTGTTACCGTGTTACAAATGCAAATACCTGTTTACGCCATAGCAATTTACTTTTATTTTTAAATGAAGTAGAGTTACTTTGTGATAAAGTGTCTTATTTGATTGTTCTTTTTTTCCCTTTTGTAGTATTGCTACCAAAGCCATCACCATCATCGAGTAAGAAACACCTCTTTTAACTATTTATTTTACATATCTTGTTTCAAATTATTACAAATGTTTTTTTAGCTGATTACCATCTACTTTTTCACTCTGTACAGAAACTGGATTACCTCATCATCAGCGTGTCTATATAACCACTGCAGTTGTGTTAGTCATTACTGGAATTGCAGTGGTGGCAGTCAGTGCTGTCTTCTTCTTCAAGAAATTTGGTCATCAGTTACCCGCCCCTAACACTTTCGATAACCCGCTCTTCTTCAGTAGTAGGGTGTCACAGCCTGAGCAAGCTGACACCAATATACTGGTAGAGAATGCAGCAGAAGAGAACACTGGAGATTTAATCAGTATGTAATTTAAATATTTTGGGCTCATTTGCATGGCCCATGTGATTCCTAGTATGTTATGAAAATTTGAGCTGAGGTGGCAGTAAATGGCTAAAAGCATATTTGAAACAACACAGGAGAATGTTTAACCAAATATGTATGTTATGACTGTGAAAATTGATTAAATTTGCTTTTGTTACGAAATCAATTTTACCCCGGTTCTTTTTATTCTTCGAGCATCCAGAGACGGCACCGGACTCAGTAGTCATTTCACAAAACCTTTATTCATCTTTACTCATCTTTTACTCATCTTTACTCATCTTCTTTACTCATCTTTTACTCATCTTTACTCATCTTCATTTAAGCATGCATCTTCTAGAAGGGAAGACGAGGCCGGTGTGTCCCTCTCCAAATCTTCACTCCTTTGTCTGTGAAACACAGTTTTGTAGGGGCGACCCTATCATAAAACCCCCCACGGTGTGCTGCAAACTCTGTCTGTGTCTATGTGCACGAGCACATGAATGCCTACATGTGCACGTTCCCGCGTGTCTATGTGAGTGCTTGTGTGTGACTGTGTACGCATACCTGTGTGTATGTGTGTGCACGTGAGTGTGCATGTGGATGTGTGTGTGCACATGAGTGAGTGTGCGTGACAGTTAAAACACTGTGGGTGTAGGTGACTCCCTAGGTCATAAAACCCATCTCCCTTCCAGACCACAGTTATCCAGTTACAAATGTTGAGACCCCCACCCAAACATCCTCTGGGGAATTTCCACTCAGCATTAACTCCTCTCTGTTTTACTTTCACAATTCAAGTGGGGGAGGGGTCTCCTACAATCTACTCTTAAGTTCACAACACAATGAGGCCTTTATTATGTTAAGGTCAGTGTCTCTACAATAGTTCTACATTCTATGTTAACACATTTCTAAACTCTAAATCAGCTAAACATTCCTACACTTTATTTTCTGAATGTAAATATTTAAAACATTGTATATGGACGGTGGCACAGTTTCCTCACAGTATGAAGGTCCTGAGTTCCATCCTTTCTCCCATAGTCCAAAGACAAGCAGTTAGTGGGGTTAGGTTAATTGGTAAATCTAAATTGCCCATTGGTGTGAACGTGAGTTTGAAAGGTTGTCTCTGTGTCTATAGAACCTGTTCTAATCCGGTCTTTAAGTCTGACGTCATTAGCCATGTCTGCAGTGTTGCCAACTTAGCGACTTTGTCGCTATATTTAGCGAGTTTTCAGACCCCTTAGTGACTTTTTTCTAAAGAAAAGTCGCTAAAAAAAGACGTGAAAGCGCGTATCGCTTTTACTCTCAACAAGCAGCGGGTGCTGTAACGCAGTCAGTTCTTCTTTTACTCTTATGCTGTTTTGTGGATCACAAGGTTTAAAACTACTTATAACACACACACACACAAAGTAACTCCACCAGAGTGCCTATTTCGGGTCACTTTTGCCGGTCCAAGCCCGGGTAAAGGAGCAGGGTTGGAATTGTGACATTAAAAAAACAATAATTGCTAAAAGAAATTTAATTTGTAGTTCTAAATAAACTCTAAATGCATTTAGGACATTTTTTACTCACTTTATGTCTCTTCCACGATGTTATTTCTCTCTCCAACAACATAGGTTACAATTAGATTAGCATGACCAATTATGCAAATTAGGTGATGACGTCATTTAGCGACTTCTAGCGACTTTTAGGACAACCAATAGCGATTTTCCTTACTGAGGAGTTGGCAACACTGCTGTCTGGGCCCAAACTCCGCTGCAGGTCCATAAGTCAAGCAATCACTGTGGAAAACTGAGAGTTAAAAACTGTCTAAATCGTGCCTATTCAACTATGAAGTTAGTTGGGCCAGATTTTCAAACCGAGGAATTTATCTGGGCCAGATATTTTTTTTGAAGCCAGTAAGCAGCAGATCATGATCAATTTCAAACCCACACAACTGTACTGAAAAACAAGTATTTTTTTTATTCCTTTTCCCCTGTAAATCTGGTGGTGACCTCTCACAAATGCACACCAAAAGGTCCATTTAAAAAAAAGGGAGCTATAACTAAACTATTTTTTGCACATTTGAAATAATAATAATAATAACAAAAAACATTTTGATAATTCCTTTCAAATTAAAATAAATATTTCGCTGACCACTCACTTTTCCTGCCATGGATGGAGCCCCATCGGTCACAAGTATACAGACACGCTTCATATCCAGACCATTTTCCTCAAAAAGAGCTTAAATCTTCTCAAACATCATTTCGCCAGCTGTGTGTCCCTCTAACGGTAGTAAACCGAGCAATTTCCCATCCAAAAAACGGACATATACGCATAACTGTGCATTATCAGTTCTGTCTGTGATCTCCTGCTATAGACATTACATCAGTTTTCTTCAGGTCATCTAACAGCATTTCAAACTCGTCTGACGCCAGAACTTCAATTCTACGAATATTTGAACTGTCCTACAGGGGTACGTTTTTAATAGCAGATGTCACACTCACTTTTCACCGCATCCACCACGGCCAGCATGCAGTATTTCATTGTTTCAGAATCTGTGAAAGGCCTTTTCTTCTTCGCCAAGAAGCAAACACGAAGGGAAGATGCTGCAGCTCTCTCTTGGGCTGTACAGGACCCTCACCATGGTAGTACAACTCCGGTTGTAAGATTATTAAACTCGGTAAAATGAATAAGTATTTGTCAGTCCAGGCAGGGTTAAACCGACAGTTTTCATTGTCAATTTTGCGCTTTTGGAGTGAGAAAGACATGCTGTTGTCGCATCATATATTACGATGATTGTTTAATATGTTTACATCACGGTGCATTGTGGGTTAAATATTGCTAGGCTACTAGGAGTGTTGCATTCACAGTCTACACTACGCTGTAGGAATTTTTAATTTTTTAAAATTAATTAATGAATTAATTTTTTGCGTTTTCTCTGTGTTTCTGCCAGGACCACAGGCAGGGCCACTCGCAGGTTGCTTCTGGGCCGCATTTGGCCCGCGGGCCGCCATTTGAATAGGCTTGGTCTAAATCCTTTCATCTGTTATAAAATGATCAGTGTGGCTGTTCTACCAGGTGTAACAATTAAGTTTAACATCCAGGCATCCATGAAAACGGAATTTTCATGACATTTTGACATTTAATGGAGTTAGAAGTTAGCAGGGAGTTAGCACGGTAACGTCCATCTAAATACAATATAGCATGTCCTGACTGAGGGATTTCAGAAACTTTTAAAACGTACAGCTATCACTTCCGACATAAATGAAGACAGAAAACTAAACAACAGTGATGTTTGTAGGGTTACGGAAGTTTGGCTAGCTGGTATATAACGATGTTCTTTGTGATCACTAGCGACACAGCTATGTTAGCATATTATAAACAGTGAAGCTGGAGGATGAACGCTAACTTTTTCCCACTCAATAAAAGTTAACGTGTGGATTCTTGGTGGTCAGGGACCAGTGTTGGGACTAACGCCTTATTAAGTAACGCGTTACAGTAACTACGTTATTATTGTGGTAACGAGCACGGTAACTAGTTATTATGCCAAAATCAGGAACGCGTTACTGGGATTTAGATAGGCTCGTTATTCGTTACTCCTTGCGGTGGCTATCGCGGAGCTTCCACAGATTCAATAACATTAGCAAGTGGTGGAGGCCAGCAGGTGGATGAAAGAAAAGGGAGGCAAGAGGAGAGACCCGAAGCGGGCGCTGGTCCGAGAGTGTCAGGTGAACTGAACTTCAGGTAAGAAGTTATGACCTGCAGTCCATCTGGGTCAGATATAAACCAAGTTTAGTTGGAGTTTATTTTCGTTGTGCTGACTTTTTCGTACTGCATGCTAGCTAGCATGACAGAGTTTCCATACAGCTGGGTGGGTGCTATAATGTTACTGATGTTGAACTTTATTTTGTCCATAAGGTTAATTATTAGAGTTGCCAACCGTCCCGTAAAAAACAGAATCGTCTCTTATTCAGAGAAAATATTACGCGTTTCGTATTGAGGTGAAAAGGAACAGTTTGTCCCGGACTTCAGCTACAATGAAAAAGACACAAAGCTGGAGTTATTCTGTGTTTACGCTGCACAGCTGCCTCTTTTCTCTCATTCTCTCCTCTCCTGTTTCTACTTCAATCATAAAACTGATCAGTGATCAGCTTATCGGCTTTTCTCTCTTGTTTGTTTATCGCCCACTTTGCGCCAGAAAGAGGAAACCGCGCTAAACAACAGCAGCACGTTTAAGCTTGATCAGCTGTTGTTAGAATTTATTTAATATTAATTTCTAGTATCAGCTGATGTTTGCTGGAGCCACAGCTGTAAAAGCTGCTGGTCATGATATCGGTTTGGTTATCGTGGTGAGAGGGAAACATGAAGATGAAACCAGGAGATGTCCTTACTGAATCATCAGAGCTGACAGTGATGGAGAAACAGGTTTACCTTTTAGGTGACATGAATGAGTTGAAGGGAAGTTATGAACTGTTTCTGAGAGACAAATAACACCAGGATCCTTTTCTAGGTAGCTGACAGCTGGTAACTGTGCAGGGGCGGGTCTAGCAAAGTTTGCCAGGGGCCATGTAGGGCATTAAAAGGGAAAGGGGGGCACAAGGAAATACTTTCTTTTTATTCTCATTTAAAATGTCTAGCTTTTAAAAAATAATTATCTGAGTCTTACAACAAACGATTGATAGATTGATACATATATACCATCAAGAACAGTGTACATCACTGTCACAACAGTGTTTAGTTTTCATTCAAAGGCTTTATGATTTTTCCTATAATGGTGGGCCGGTCTAGTCAAAATGCCCGGACTGATTTTTTTGTCCCAGTCCAGCCCTGTATGCAGCTCATCTGTCAGTCTGTTACCTACATCTTCCTATTCAGAAGGCAGAATTTCCGAGTTCTGAGTACAATCGAAAGCACCACGACTGCAGTTTTTGTGTTGGATGTAAAAAGCAGGCTAGGATAGAATCAGGCGTGGGATTTCTCTCGTGGAAATGTGCACATTATTTTTTCCTTTCTATTGGTAGGTGGCACAGTGCACTTGTGGCAAGTAAGCAAGCTAGAAGACTGGCAATCTTGCTGGGTATCCAGTTACGGAAGCAACACATTAACAAGAGAATTCTGAGTAAAACCAAAGTTACTTTCCCTAGTAACTAGTTACTCTGAAAGTAACGAGTAACTTGAAGTAACTGAGTTACTTTTGATAGAAGTAACTAGTAATGTAACTAAGTTACTAATTTAAAGTAACTTACCCAACACTTGTTTATTTTGTTCTTTCTTGTGAGTTCCTACATTGGCCTCTACATAACTGCATGCATTGGTGAAATGGAAAT